ACTAACCCTAGTGAGCCCTCTCCACTTCCCAAATAGTCCTCCAACTTTCTTGTGTATATTAGGAGAGATATATGTGTGTATTCTATTTGTTTGTTTTTTGTTTTGCTTTGAGACAGGGTTTCATTATGAATGTAGTTCATGTTGGCCTTGAACTCACAGAGATCCCACTGCGTCTGCCACCCAAGTCCTAGAAATACAAGCATGTGTCATGATACCCAGTTTGCAGGTATATTTCTATAAGATAGATCATAGATGCAAAATTGTTCATCAAAGAGACAGTCTTGTTCTTAATTTTTAGAAATATTTTTCAAATTTCCCTCTAATAGGCTGAATTATTTTTGATTTCAACTTTTGAGACAGTAAAACACTTTTAACCTCAAGAGAATTTTCAACCAGTTGAAAACAGGAGTCCGTCTTTCATAAAAAGACTATAAATCTTACTTTATGACACTGCAAACTTTAATATGAGCATGATGTGGAAGTCAGCCGATGCCTATCAGAAAGGGTTCAAAGGAAGGCTACTGCGCTCCTGATGGAGGCCTGGCTGGACCTTTCCCAAGCGCCTCTATCAATTTCCCAGGCCAGGATCTCTGGTGTCATTCCCCAGTAGTGACAACTTCGACGGAGGATTTCGGAGAAGTTACTCTTGTAGTCAATTACTTCCAGTACGGCTCCCTGTGGGAGACCTTATTTTATCATCCTGATTACTAAATATATGTTGTGAAACTAATGTGGAATCAGACTAATTTAGGCTAAAATCTTTTCAGTGTCATGAGTCAATTAGCATGTAAACTAAAAGTGTCCGGCTTACATATTCATTTTATCGGACACAGGTGTGACTTCCTCCATTAACAGACTTCTTTCCACAGTAAGAAAAACATACAAAAGTGTCCTTTTTTATTATTCTCCCTTTCACAATCTTCTCCACTTTAAAAAAGGAAAGAAAGAAAAAGAGAGAGAAAGAAATCGGTCATTAAATTAGTTATTTACATCCTCAAAGCATCAAAGGTGGGGCAGACACAGCAAGTACCTCTCCCCCACCCCTCTCTCTCTCTCTCTCTCTCTGAGGCTGGCCTCAGACTCGCAAAGAAAGACCATGAACTTCTGACCCTCCTGGCTCCACATCCCAAATGCTGAGATAGGTGTATATCACCACGCTGATGGTGAGATCAAAGCCAGGGCTTTATGCATACTAGGCAAGGGCTCTTAACAACTGAGCTACATGCCTATTCTCTCTATCCCCACTCCACACCTCTCTCTCTCTCTCTCTCTCTCTCTCTCTCTCTCTCTATTTCTGTGTGTGTGTGTGTGTGTGTGTGTGTGTGTGTGTGTCTTTCTCTCTCTGTAGGCAGGATTTCATGAAGCCTAGTCTGACCTTGAACTACTAATCTTCCTGCCTCAAGCTCCCAAATGCTGGGATTACAGACATGGACCACCACACTTAGCTAGTATTATTTTTCTGAGTATGCAGTACCCAGCCCAACAACTCTACCTCATAGCCCACTTCAGCCACACGTAGGGTAGGCTGGGTACGTCAGGAAAATAAGGCAAATCAAGACCAACCCTTGACTGATGACATTAGGAGTTGGCATATAAATATGTCTGTGAGCTAAATTGTGTCTCCTCCCCAAACACTTATGTTGAAATCCAAACCCCTAGGACCTCAAAGTGAGACTTTGTTTGGAGATGGGATCTTTACAGACGTGGTCCAGATAAAAATGAGATCCTAAGGATGAACTGCTGTCCAGAAGAAGAAGAGGAGGAGAAGGAGGAAGAAGAAGAAAAAGAAAAGAAGAAAGAAAGAAAGAAAGAAAGAAAGAAAGAAAGAAAGAAAGAAAGAAGGAGGGAGGGAGGAAGGGAAGGAAAGGAAGAAAGGAAGGAAGGAAGGAAGGAAGGAAGGAAGGAAGGAAGGAAGGAAGGAAGGAAGGAA